TTTTTTTTTTTCTATTACACGGAAAATTTTTCCAGTACAATTTCGGGCCGTCAGACCAGGACGGCCCTTGGCCTTGTCCGTCGTAGAGGTGGGTGGTTTCTTATACTAGACGTTTGCGCTAATAATCAGATATTGTTATACATATGTGACTAGAATAAGATATTATGAAGAATAAGAGGTTACAAGGAAGCGATACATGGTACTGTGTAATAGATATATGTGAATGAAGGAATATTTAGCATAGTAATACTATGATATTCTATAATATGTATAGCATTATTATTGGGTTATCGGTATAGGGTATAACTATTATGTGATATATATAGAGTAATATATATCATTATATATTAGACTATTATACATTAACTATTATATCACAACACACATGTAGTCATATAACATGTAGTGAAAACTGTTAATAATTATATCAGTCTATTTATTAGTATATCATACATAAAATGTTTCGTTTGCGGTATATAATACTATATATATATCCTACATTCTCCTATGATATGTCATATATATATCATACATTAGCTACCTTAAGTATATATATAAAATATAAACTACTAGTACAGTTAGAATAAATATTATCTATACCTTTGTAAATATAACATATTTATTTTTTATCTATTCCATATTACTTTATCATTATTTTTAATTATATATCTACAATTTACTATAGTCAATGTATACACAACACGCACCTGTTGATGTTCAATGAAGTATTCTCAGGATGATATTCTTATTGGATAAACTCAATATTCATTAGGCGGATCTAAATTAATATTAATCTTCAATTATTAGGTATATGGTTAAGTATATATGAGTGATTATGCATAATTAATATATACAGGATAAGAGGGGGGACCTAATACGAAGAGTTGATTAGATACGTTAATTATAGATTATAATTAGTCAGGATAATATTGATAATAATATAATATATATATCCGAATCATTTTATATGGTATATATGTATAAGATATTATTATATATTATATTTATTAAGATTTTATTATATTTTAATTTTATAAGACCCGACTTACCTTAGATAAGATCACTAGATAACTTAACATTATAACATATATCTACCCAAAATATTACCTAATCATGTCCTCATAATCATGCCTGGTGTCAGTCAATAGCTTGAGTTAACTTGAGCAGTACAGAAGCTGTGGACACGCTATAACCAGATCCGAGTTTAACACCAATAATATATATAATATATAACATCGTTAATACCAAAATATCATCCATATAATAATAGTGTAAAATAATGACATCAGTGGTTGAGTATAATATCACATTATATATTAGTATCGCACATATTATAATATATGGCTACATATTATATATCTAATAGTATAGTAGGTACAATAGATGTGATGGTGGCATAGTACTATTATTCGTACGGGTATGAAGGCTCAAGAATACTTTCAGTCAATCTCTATTAGTCTATATAACTGTAAAACCGGTTATTTATAATTGTGATATCTATTAAATATATATTCTCATTAATGTCTATTCTAACTTAGCGGACGCGAGCTTAAGTTATCAGTAACATGTAATCATTCTGTACAGTAATACAAATACACATTAGCCATTGTCGTTGTAGGGAGATGAATTGGCAATTGTTATTACATTCACATTACCTTATTGTAATATATAATTTATGCATATATATTTATATTATATATATATGTTATGTATTATATATTTAAATATAATGTATATATATGTATAATCATATACATTTGCAAAATTTATTACATAAACAAAATATATCAATCCATATATAATATCCATAACATGAGTTCACCATATTACATCTCATCAATATTGAGTAGTAAGTGGTCAGTATGTCACCCATATTCAAGTATATATATTATATTATATAAATATAAATATATATATTATAATATATATATATATTTCACATCATATGTAATTAAAATACGTATTAATATCAACAACACACACATACATTAACACTTACACACCGCACACACACACATCAACCACATAACACACATACACATAACACTTAACACTATTTATTTTGTATTATATTATATTTATTTTTTATTAATAATCACAACACCACTACAAATATACTATATATATATATTTATAATAATATATATATTAATATATATATATATATAATATATATATACATATATAGGCACACACACATATATACGTATATATATACATACGTATATATATATATATATATATATATATATATATATATATATATATATATATATATATATATATATTTATATTTATTATTATTATATATATATATATATTATATATATATATATATATATATATATATATATATATATTATAGTAGGCATATATACACAAATATATAAGTATTAGAAATATCCAAATATATGATTATTCTTTCTATGCATTATATATATTTAAATGTAAGTAATGTAATCGTTATGCGTATATATACACACACGCGCGCACACACACATATATGAATATATACAGAGTGAGAGAAATTCGGTTGCAGTGCTTCAGTCTGAGAGAAAGGCAGTGAAAGGTGATGATCGCTTGAGTGGGGTGCTAATGAGTCAGTGAGATGCCAAAGTGTAGGAAAGTAGTGGTGGACCAGGTTGGGGTCCCTGAGATTTGGGGGACGTAACCCCTGTGGCCCCTGTCATCTGCGGCCTCGTGAACCCTCGATCTTGAACTTTGTTACAGATATTTCGAGCTTGGTGCTTGACTTAGGGAGAGACAATGAAATTGTGAGGAGCCAATGTGGTGGGATGTGCACCAGTGCTAGTTAATTAGTAAGCGCGTAGATGCTTTTCATGAAGGATCATCTTGGCACTGAACGGTCGCCTTCAAAGCCGGCATTGAAAAGCTGAAATAATTCTCACAAATGTGAACAACTGCCTTTGCTCAACAAAGCCGATTCATTATCGTATCTGACGCATTGCTGTACATTTAGCACTCTTTTCTGTGACCACATCAGTTGGGCTCAAAAAGGACAGCAACAAGAAAACATACATCCTTTTGTGGCACTAGTTCTTTGGAATTGTTCAGTTTTGTGAAGACTGAACATTCATTCAAACATTATAATACCTGAAAACGTATCACGTGGCCACAGCAGGACTGGTGACGCCAGTTCATGACGTCAGGCACTTCCTCGCCGCAAACGCGCGCATATAAAAGCTTGCAATCACATCCACGTGCATCTCACACCTCTTGCACTTACGCCAAGTCGTATCACGACGCAGGTTAGCCATGAGTATGCGTGATGGTTTTGTCGGGAATAGACTTGAGTTCATGCATTTTTGTGTCGACATTTGTTTTGTGCAAGACACTTGATGGTAAAATCCTTGATCTGCATTAGCGACAATGTTCACTCACGCTAGAGAGGCTATAGTCACGACATCTTTAACCCACAGACGCTTCCATCATGAATACGTTGACGATCGTGTTGGTGGCGGCATTCGCTGTAGTCGCGAGCGGAATGAAAGACGGCCATCCCCAATGACCAGGAGTTCCACACACTCTTCATGAAGGTGAGTCTGTGATCGGTGGACGCAATGAATACATATTGGAAGCAGAATTGACCACTGTATGCCTTTGGGATTTTCTTTAGGAGTAATTCAAACTCTCCCTCTTCTTTCCAGCTAAAACGATGTGCATGGATATTATGATGCCATCCCAAGACGAAATGAGTAACATGAAAGAAAAAATGAAAGAGTGCCTCGAAAAAGAAGGTCACACCATTTGAGTAAGTTATTATTATCATCATTATTTATTATTATTATTTTTTTTTTTTTTAATCGACCAAATTAGGATATGTTGACAGCCATTTCAGGACTTTATTGTATATTTCTCAAGCAGACATCAATGCCATTGATGATTGCATGAGATTTCCCTGCGGACATGTTACTAATCGCCTTTTTCTGGCCTTGGTCAGCTTCACACCCTGCCTTGGCTTCCGACAAGAAGCCCCACCTAAAGCGCTGTGCTTCCGCGAGAACTCAAGGGTATCTCGGCTGAAAGCCGAAGATTGGTGTCGCTGTGCGCCCTCGAAGACCATGGAGTCCTGGTACGTGTGTACTCACAAGTGCTAAATATTCGCATTGAGTTTCAGTATATAGTTTAACCATCTTAGCTTCCAGATGCTGGTGATGTAGAGGACCCTTTGTTGTCTTTCTCTTCAGGATGGCGAGGAGGTCAACGTAACTAAGGTCATGGAACTTCTGCGAACAAAGATTGATGCAGCAGAGGATTCAGTAGCAAAAGAGGCCTTATCTACAGCCCTTTCCAACTTGTCTGAGGAACCCCTAGAAGCTGACGTGAGTATTGAGTGTATTTCATGAGTCGGCACTCTTGTGAATTCACTTCATATTTACATTTCTCTTCAGGTGCATGTTTTTCTCATCGAGCTTCTTCTGCCTTTCAGCTATTACATTTCATGGAGCTCAAGAAGTCTCTTATGAACTCCTGCCTTATGAACGTGGTTGCAAGCCTAACCGAAGAGAAACTATTAGCGAAGTGTTCAAATTCATAAGTGTCTAAGGAGCATTGACTTTGCGAATATGGATCCCTGGCTTTTGACTTGATATCCTCTACGAATGATACCCTCATAAGGCAACACAGCAAACCTATAAACATTGTAGTCAATAGATGCAACATCTTGACCCATTTTCCTCCAAAATAAAGACTGCAGCATATATGTGTATTTTTAATATGATACCTTCATTGGTAATCTGATACCTTCTCAAACGATTGGTAAATTTGACATCCTCCGAGAATGATGCCCTGGCAGAGCAACACTCCTAAAGGCAGATATAAATAACTCCCGGCTGTGGAGCCTGATGGCATCCCCTCGGGGTTCCGCCTGCCAAGGGAAAGCCCCGAAGGAAGGTCTCGTCCGAACCCTCGAGAGAGAGGACTGTGACGGATGCACTGATCCATCTGGACATGCACAACGCAGCCACGTGGCAGCACGCGCTCAACCCATGCATTTTATATGCTTCACAGTTTTAATTTATTTTTTGTTGTTTTCAACAAATAGCACAAACACGAGGAAGTATGTTTAAAAATCCAAATCGTGTGAGAGATAAGGTAAAAGAAATAAAAGAAAGACTACATTTAAAAAGATTTTTTTTTCTCTCCCTCTCTTGTATATATATAAATGCATATATACTGTATACATTTACATATATATATAGGGTGTATGTATATGTACATAACAATATATGTACACACACGCACACACATTTGTTTATATATATAAATGTGTTTATATACATATGTGTGTGCATATGTATATATGCATGCACACACACACACACACATATACATATACATTTATACATGTATATATGTTTATATATTCATATATATGTATATGCATGCATATATGCATATGTATATAAATATGCGTACATTCATTTAATATGAATAAATAAATGAATATATATATATATATTTATGCAAATATATATCGATATATATATATATATATACATATGCTTATTTATATATACATACATACTAATGTGTATATATATATTTATATATGAAAGGGTAAGGAATGCAATTAAATGTCAGAAAGAAGGTGAAGTGGCAGTTAGGAACATTATCCTACGTGAGCGTTGCGACTGCTAAGAGTGAGTGAGTGTGCGAGTCGAAGTGTGAACGAAGTCCTGTGAAGCAGTGACGTGTATGAGGAAGTGTGCATTCGAATGAAATAAAATGTTGAATGAGTAAATGAATGCAGATCGGATTATGCGTATTTTGTGCACACATAATAGATTTTTTTTTTCTATGGAAACATTGTAATTATTTCTGAGTAAACAAATGACCTAAGAAAAGTGACCAATATCCATTGCGTGACCAAAGAAAATGGAAAAGAAATACATAAATAGAAAATAAAAAAAATGTGACCAATATAAATAAACTGAACACGTGTGATACATAAATAAAAAAGAAAAAAAAAAAAATCAAATTTAAAAAATGAAAATGAAATTAGTGAATGTCCAGGGAATTCCCCTAGTGTGACGTCACATTCACACGCACAGCTGCCCAGACGAGACATGCCCACCCGAGGAGGCAATCAACAACTGCTTTGCAAATCCTCGGTAAGGAAAAATAAACACTTGTTAACTTATTATTAAACGTAGAAAAGTGACATTAAAAGTGAACAAAAAGAAAGTAAAGAAATGAATTAAAATAGGGTTTCTATAAATCAATAGGATTTCCGGTGTGTAGTAGAAAAGTGCTGATTCGCGTCACCAATAAGTGCGCCCGTCTGCATCCGTGAGGCGTGAGAGCTAAGGTAAAGGCGTGAGGCATGAGGCATGAGGCGTAAGGAGGAGTGAGAAGAGGAGATAGAAGTAAGGCAAAGTGAAGAAAGCGAGGACATATCAGCACACGGACTTTACGTGAGAAATCTAGTGTGGAAATAATGACTATTGAGTTAACGAACATTGGTCACACATGAACAAAGTGTACCAAAAGCGTAATATTAATTTTCTTTACATGAATTATATTGCAAATTTACATTCATTTTCTTTCATTCCATTTTCATAAAAATTTTTAGTATTTTGTGTGCATTGTGTGTGAATTTTCATGATATATCTGAATAGTAATAATGTTTCCTTTAAACCCAATTATTCAATCTTAGCAATAATACAGGTGATCCGCAAAAGGTTGTAGTGGTGGAGGGCCAGTAATTAAAGATATAATTTAAAAATTTACACACACGCAAAGGAGGTTATCTTTTTGGTAGCTCGTGTTAGTTTGTTAAATGGTTAGCAGTATAACTCAAAAGGTTGAGAACAGATTTCTGTGAAAATTTTACCAGAGGAGTGTCTTATCCGAACTTACATGCCATCCAATTTTGGTGGTGATCCGGATCATGATCCGGACCCACGATTCTTTAAAATGATTGCATCAGTTAACGCGATATACAGGGGTAACTATTTTTATCATCATTAAGTCATGTTTACGAACGTCACCAGTGTACCTCAGAAAGAGGTTATTCTAATGTAATTCTTCAAGTTTGAATATTTTTATTGGATCAGTGACCCTAAAGCCTTGGCGGAAGTATGCGGTGTCTGAGTGCTTCTAATTATTATTGTTATGATTATTACTTAAGCTATAACGTTATCAATATTATCCTTAATACTATTATCATCATCATTGTTATTATTATCACTCTCAATATTCTCATTTTTAGTAGTATTACTGTTATCATTATCATTTTTATTACTGTTAATCTTATCAACATTTTCATTTTTTACTACTGATATTATTATAATTATCATTATCATTATTTGTATTATTGTTGCTGTTGTGCCATCATCATATGAAGATAATGGTGGTAATAATAATGATGATAATACTATTAATAGTGATCATAATAATAATAATTATAATATCATATTTATCGTTATTATTATCATTAGTAGTAGTAATAAAATTCTTTAATATAAATATGGTAATTATTTTTATCGTGATGATTATCATCATCCATATCATTATCATACATCGCATCATCGCTATCGTCATTTCTACACTTATACTTGCTTTTACTTTAATTCTTGTTTTTCGTTATTTTTCCAGCTGTTAGGGTTATCATTATTTTTATTGTCATTATCATTATTATAATTATCATTATTGTGATGACTACTATCATTATTATTATTGTTGTTATTATCATCATTACTATTACCAATATCATCATCATAGTTATTATCATTACCTTTATTATTATTATTATTTTCATTATTGTTATTATCTTTGTCATTGCGATTATT